AGTTTCTAAAGTAAAAGATGAAGGCAGAAAATAAGTAGTCCATTTAGTGAGCTATAATAATGTTGAATTTTTTTAAGGATATTATGTCTAAGATCAAATTTCAATTTCAAATGATATTATGGTTTAACAAGCAACTAACCTATCAAAGCATAAGACGTCCCATACCGACTGCAACATCTATATCCTCAATGATTTTTCCCTCATCTACCTCTGCATCTGTTAATGTCAGAGCTCTTTGAAGCTTCCTGTGGCTGAAGACCTCAACCTCAACCAAGAATGTTGCAGTAACTGGACGATGATCTGATACCTTAAGCTCGCTTCTCTTATAGCTCAAAAGTTTCATTCCATTTCCAAATGTAAGAATTCGATCACACCTAAACAAGCATTGTTAGTAAATATTTTTTGAGCATTTAGAATAAATAATAATTTCAAATCTGTCCATGAAAACCACTATGAATAATCTGAGAAGCATCATGCAATTTGATATATTGTTGCTCGTAAGTAGTACCATGCAGGAGTTCTCCTTCCACTCTTTGAATCATCTTTGACATATTTTGCTGAATTGTATTCAAATTTGTAGGTTGGAGGGAAATCTATTATGCCTTCTTTCCAACCATCAAATGTGCCACCAATTTTAAGCTCCTGCTTTAGCTGGCAATGAAGATGTTCATTAATAAAAATAATTATTAAAAAGTAAATAGAGGTGTTCTTTTGTGGGATTAACAAGAATTATTATATATATCAGGTAAATTTGAGAAAATTAGAATAGAAAGTTTTTAACAGATCAGAAAATGAATTCTTAACTCACTTGATCTTTCGCAAACAACTCTGGTAACTTCTTGGCTGAAATCAGTTCATGTGCTCTTTCATATGGCAAGTTGATGCGGTAATTTAGATCTCCAAACCAGAAAATCCTTCTACAAAAAATATTTTCTAAACAAGCAATGAGTGAAATTTAACGAAGTACAAGAGGTTTATGATTAATTAATATGAATGACCTAATCCTGATGGCTCCTTTTCTTTTATATAAAAAACAGTATCACACCCATCACTACATTTGTCCCAATTATTTAAGATTGTCTTTATGAACTTCCATTCTATAAGCAAACAATTGAGTGCATCAAGATGTGTTAAATCTATTTGTAAGACTATTGTCTATAATACCATTCATCTATCTACCATTCTTCCTATTTCCACCATAATGCTCTATGGC